GGTCCTCTGTAAGAGCAACCAGTGTTCTTAGCAGCTGAAACATCTCTCTAGCCCCGGGAATATGTTTTGTGAAGATGAGAAGGGCATGCAGAAAAGGGTCAAGTAAAGAAGTTCAGGGCCAGTGAGATGCTCTGTGGGAAGGGCATCTGCTGCAAAGCCTGATGACTTGAGTTCTGTGAAACCCACATGGTTGAAGGAAAGAACCAAAGCCTGAAAGTTGTCCTTTGACCTCTACATATGTACCATAGTGCCTATGTGTGCAAATATTTATACAAAATAAATAAATGTCAAAAAGTAGTTTACTTCATCTGAAAACATGCTGAATTCATAGCCACTAGCCATTACTTTGGTGACCAAAATATATATTGAAATCATATAGAATTAACCTTCCAAATCATCCCATTTGACCTTTATTAGGGTGATAGAACATATAGTACACAGCCTCTGTATTTTCTGTGAAGAGCAAGAAGCCCTGCTTTGTGTTCAACGAGCAAAACAGCTGCTTTAACATGTTTCTGTGTAAAATTACAGTGTCTTCAGTAGGGCTTGCCCATGCCTTTATTTCAGATGTGAGAGAGAAGGGAAGGAAAGCCAAAGAGTGGGCCTCATCAGCCAATGAGAGTGCGATACGGACACTGAAGAACGTCCTGCGGATAAGCCAGAGGGTCCTGGACACATCAGCAGGCCTGTCCAGAGTGAATGCCATGTTACAAGAGACAAATGAACTTCTGCATAACTCCACAATGACAAGTACGTCGGTGGTCTTTCTTCCAGTACTGAAAGTCTGCACCCTGCAGATTGGGAGACAGCAGGGTGCACAGGGTGCAAAATGAAAATGCATCTGGATTTGTTTGTGGAGAGAGGGGCCCAGGGAACACACGTTGCCAGAGAGTTTTTCATATGTTCTCAAATGTTGAAGGGTTTGATTATTAGGTGATTCTGTTTTATTTGGTGTCTTAATAATGACCCATTTCTTTCTCCTCTTTTCCTCCTCCTGGTTCTCCTGGTACACTTTGCCTTCCTGTCTTCTTCAGCTCTTTTGGCTGGAAGAAAAGTTAAAGACATGGAAACATGTCTGCTTAGAAAACCTAAGCAGAAACTTGTCAGAAATTAAGCTGCTGATTAGCAGGGCCCGGAAACAAGCAGCTTCTGTGAGATGGGCTTGGGATTCGGTTAATACCCCATCCCAAAGCTGGGGTGCTTGCTCATGCCAAGACCTGACACATTTGGTGGGCCTGGTGCTCACACCAGCTCTACAACTTATATAGGCCCAGATCTCAATAATCTCATCTCCTCCTAGACTTGCCTCAGTCCATTTAAAACCAGTAATTGGCAGTTTTTCTTTAAATTCTGCTTATAGTGAATATGTTTCAGAAGATTCCAAAGGGTGTAGGGGTGGGGTTGGAGAGATGCCTCAGCGATTAAGAGCACTGACTGCTCTTGCAGAGGACCAGGGTTCAGTTCCCAGCACCCACATGGCGGCTGACGGCCATCTTTAACTACAGTTCCAGGGGATCTGATGCCCTCTTCTGACCTCCATGAGCACTGCATGACATGGGTGTACTTACATACATGGAGGCAATACACTAATACACATAAAATAGGATAAGAATAATACAATTTTTTAAAATCCAAGGGAAGGACTCTCCTTACTTTGCAGAGATTTAAATTTGATTTCTGACTTCATAACTTAGCTTTCATGGAATGAAGTCTAAGTGGTGGCATAACTGTGAGTTTCATGGTTACATGCTGTGCTGTTTCTTCATTTTAATAATGCAAGTACTCTCTAAAATGTTTGTGTAGTTTGTATAGGACTCTGAGAAAACAATTTGTATACAGTACACACAGAAGCTGTTCAAGTCCACTCCACTGAATGCATGACGCACCCGGCACCCAGAGAAGTTCAAACTGGGGAAAGTGTGGTAGCCATCTGCGGCCCTCATCACTGGCTGCTCTCTGAAGAGCAGTCTTGCAGGCTGATGACAAGGCTGGAAGGACTGTGTTGTTGCCATTCTGCTAGACCTAAAGAGGAAGAATGTGACCTCTGGTCTTATCTTAGTCTTTCTGAAGCTTTCTAGGGAAGATGAAGGAGCTCTGGGCTCTCCAAGGGTCTTCACTTCTAGAAAAGGATGTGGGCTTATATGAGTTCTGGCTTCCATCGGTTTTTTTAGCAATCTCCAAATAAATGTAAGCTCAAGGCCTAGTTCATGGTCAATACAAATTTAGAATAGTTGAGATTAATATGGGATATATACAGAAATAATTACCAACCAAGGAAATAAGATAGTAAGTAAATATTTGCTCTATAAAATTTACTGATTGAACATAGGACTCCTGCATTTATTTAACAAATGTCTGTGGGCCAGGTAGTAAGAGTCCAATCTGATAAAGTCCTTGTCTTTAAGGAATTAAATTTTATGTGAGTGAGACAGTTTCTTATATAAACTATCCCATTAAAACTAATTTAAGGGGCTGGAGCGATTGCTCAGTGATTAAGAACATTTATTGCTCTTTCAAAGGACTGGAGTTAGGATCCCAGCACCTACATTGGGTGGCTCTCAACCACCTGTCACTCTAGTTTCAGGGGATCCAACAGTCTCTTCTGGCATCTAGGGGCACTTGCATTCACACGCACATACCCACACAGACAGACACACATGTACACATAATTAAAAAATAAATCTTTAAAAACACTAAGTTCTGCATGGTGACACACCTATAGCTCCAGTTCTCTAGAGACTGGGGCAGGAGGGTCATGAGTTTGAATTCAGCCAGGTCTACATGGTGAGACCTTGTCTCTAAACAAACAAATAAAACCAAACAAAACCTAATTTAAAAGACTTTCTCATATTTCAGCAGTTCGCCAAGTAAAATAATTTTCATCTTGGTCTGATTTCTCACTTCATGAAGCCCAAAGCATTGTGAATTATGAAGTGAGGAAGCTGGGTTCACACTGAAAAGTGGAATCCCATCCCTGATGTCACCAAGTGATGGGAAGCTTTCCTTTTCCCCACAGATTAAGGTTGCCGTGGCTGCAAACAGAGACTGCATCCGTGCCTACCAGCCACAGATTTCATCCACCAACTACAACACGTTAACTCTGAATGTTAAGACACAAGAGCCCGACAACCTTCTCTTCTACCTTGGCAGCAGCACCAGCGTAAGTCAGGGACCATGTGTGTTCATGAGCACAGCGATTTCCTCCGTGAACACTTTGTTCATGAGAAAAGAAATAAGGTCTTCCTGGAAAGGATAACCTACCAGAAAGAACCTTTGCTACAGTGGTAATGTCAGATTAAAAATAGCCAGCACAAGTGAATGCCCAGGGGCTGGGCAGATAGGTCAGTGGGTAAATTGCTTCCCTTGTAGGCATGGAAACCTGAGTCCCCAGGACCCATGTAAACCAAAGCTGGGCATGGCATCATGCATTTGCAATTCAGAGCTGGGGAGGTGAAGATAAGTAGATCTTTTGGGGCTTCTTGACCAGCCAATCAGGCCTAATTTGCTTCCCAGCCAGTGAGAGACCCTGTCTCAAGAAAAAAAAGGTGAACATCCATTAGGAATGATACTAGAGGTAGTCCTCTAGTTCCACATGCACATGCGTACATGCGTACCTATATACACATAAACACCCACCCACACATACACACACACGCACATTGAAGACTTGTGGGAAGGAAAGTGACATTCCTGATCAGTGCCTTCCTCTGCCATCTCATTTGTGTATCTTGGGAACAGAACTCCATGTAATGCCTTTGTGAACCCCAAGGTGATTATCAGGGTTGCCAGATATCGCCTAGACTCTTCTTTCCAAGGAGATTCCTTTAGTTCCCAGAGGTTAAGTTTCCTACAAAAGACCACTGATCCTTCAGCTCCACTAGTGGGGAGAGGGTTCAAGCCCTTGGGAATGTTGGAAGAAGAAGAATGTTAATAAGAGTCAAATACTCACAGAGCTGTGAGAAGGGGTTTTGTGGCTCTTGTCTTACTCATATTTCACAGCCTTTAGTGCCTTCTGAAACCCAGAAACAAGCCATTGCCTTGCTTTATCCTTCCTTGTGACTTGCTGACGGCACCTTTGAATGTTCCTGGGAATCCATGGGTGGTATTATAGAGGGCCTGCTCAGCAGAAGCACAAATGTCCAATTAGCCAGTGTCCCCAGGACTCTGACTCATGCTCCAGCCCCAGGGATATAGGTATTTATAGACAAGAGAGTATAGCCTTTCAAGTTTTGCATTATTTTTAGATACAGAGAAAATGCTGAAAGAACTTTAAACTATTTTAGGATCATGTAAGTAGCAGAATATAAACTCATTTCCACTCAACTCATTTACTGCCCCCCCCAGTCTGATTTCCTTGCAGTGGAGATGCGACGTGGGAAAGTGGCCTTTCTCTGGGACCTGGGCTCCGGGTCCACACATTTGGAATTCCCAGATGTCTCCATTGATGACAACAGATGGCACAGCATCCACATAACTAGGTAGCAGAGAATGTCCTTGGAGCATCTTCTTTGGACTATGCCTTATAACATTCTTGGAACATCATATAATTAACAGGCCTTCTGAGTCTTCTAGAAAGATGAATTTTAAGCAAAGAATACTGGATTTATATTAATAATAAGAATGAGGGGGCTTTTATTACAGAATAATCTTTGTTACCAAAATCAAGGATAGAAAGAAGAAAAACATTAATAGTTCAGATTATTTTTATAATATTTTTAGCAAGTCCAAGTCCAGGATGACCAACCAGGCAAATGTTTCTTTCCAAAGAAGAGAGTTTGTCAAAGGCTTCCTGTAGGAATCCAGGTAGAGGAAGACAGAAGAAGATACAAGCAGGCAGGGAATGTATTTCCTTAAAGTTCAGACATAAAGCCAAATTCTTCTTTCAAAGCCTCTTCCCCAGAAGCACCTTCATTTGAACAATTTAGGTATATTTTTCTTTTCAATTTCTGCAGTATTATGGTTTGTAGTTGATGGTATTGTTGGTAATATTTTTCAATATTATCTATAAAAATATTATAATGAGCTGGCATGGTGGCATATGTCTTTAATCCAAGAACTCACTCAGGAGGCAGATCTCTGCGAGATCAAGGCCAGCCTGGTCTACATATCAAGTTCCAGGCCAGTTGTAGCTATAGGAACTAGTCATTATGATTTGGGAAAGCATAAGGCAGAGGTAGAATGGGCAAGACTGGAAACAGACACAAACAGAGGCTGCAGAGGGGCACAAGAAACAGGTGGGGCTCTGTAGGGAAGAGAAAGGTGTCATGGGATGACATGTAACACAGAAATAAAAAGCTCCTCTTGCAATCCTTTCTTACCCAAGGTTTGGAAACATGGGATCACTGAGCATACAGGAAATCAGTTCAGCTGAGAAGCTGCCAGCAGGAACAAGCAAATCCCCTGGGACAGCCAATGTTCTTGATATAAACAATTCAACTTTAATATTTGTTGGAGGACTCGGAGGTCAAATCAAGGTAACTTTCTGAGAGTTCATCTAAACAGGAACCATAGACTGACTTCACTTGTATATGAAATGATCTGATCAAATTGTAAATTATACCCTCACCTCTGCTTTTGCTGGTGTTCACTGTGGCAGTAGGATGGTGAAGGGGCTGGTTATGCAGGGCAAAGGACTGTGATTATTTATTACAGTAAATGCAGGAGAAACCAACAGTGTGCTTCACCAAATGGATTTTTACCAGTGACAGAATAGGAAATTAAAGCATTCTATATTGATTTCTGTAGAGTACCTTTATCTCTATTCTAACCCTAGTGGTAAGCATGCTAATTAGTGTTCAGCGAAAGAGTGCATCACATTGAATTGATGATTCTATTGTTTTATTTAATCAATGATTCTCTCACCAAATGACGTGGAACTGAGCTGGAGTCAGTGTTCTGAGGTGAGAGGAAGATCAGCATCCCAGCTAGGCCTCCATGACCGACCACATTTCTAATTCGATGACTCACCTGTAAAGACTTCTTCCCAGTGACTCCAATAACTGTCATGAGCTTTAGGATATTGTCCAAAGCCCAGTCCTGTAGTGCACACGTGTAATCCCTGTGCTTTGAAGGCTGACGCAAGAGAATTGAGAGTCTGAGGCCAGCCTGGGGTACACATATGGGATTTGTCTTAATTCATGCCCACTGAAAACAGCTATCCATCCCTGATCAGAAAGAAATCCAGTCATTACAGACTGGCTATTTTTCCCAATGTTATTCTCTTGAAACTTGTATTTGTTAGATTTGAGCTCCCAGGGCATTCCTCTGTGTCAACTATGTGTGCATTGTATGTTTGTTTTTATTGTTTGCATTAGAAATCTCCTGCTGTGAAGGTTACTCATTTTAAAGGCTGCATGGGAAAGGCCTTCTTGAATGGCAAATCAATTGGCCTGTGGAATTATATCGAAAGAGAGGGGAGATGCAATGGCTGCTTTGGAAGGTAACGTAACCTTGGGTTTTAATACCTTATTCTGTTAACATCTGAGAACTCCTCAATGAGTGGACATGCCCATCAAAAATGGGCCGAGTTTATGGTATTATGCATCTTACTGTGAAGGATGTGTTATAGATTATTTTCTATAATAGGGGCATGAGTGTTACTTTTCATCTTTAGAAGAAAGTATTCTTTTTACTTGCTTGAAATACACAGTCTGATCATAGATCATAAAATCATCTCAAACAACTTTCTGTTTTGAATGCGACATAGAGAGAGATTATATCTCAGAACACACACAGAAACGAGAGACAGAGAGAGAGAGAGAGAGAGAGAGAGAGAGAGAGGAAGAAGGAGGAGGGGAAGAGAGAGAGAGAGAGAGGAGAGAGAGAGAGAGAGAGAGGAGAGAGAGAGAAGGGAATGTGTAGTCAATTCTAACCAAATCCTGTAAAACTGGAAATAAAATGCATTTGGAAGTGGAGATTCATCTTTTTTGCACATATTCATATAATAGAAGAAATTTAATAACATAATATCACTGAGCTCAGCTTCCCCTCGTTGTAACAGAATGACTGCTTCCCCTAAAGTGTGGAAGGCCTGTCATGTCCTGGCACTTCAATAATTAAGACACTTGATTGCCTTTTACCTTTGGTGGAATGTAATAATTGATATAACTTGTATGGAAAGGCTGTTCTGTTTAAATAGATACCTGTAGTTCCATGCAAGTCCTGACAGGGTGAGTTGGAAGCAGCTGGTGTTACAGTTAGAAACTTCTGGTCAGGTTTTCATGTTTTCACTTCGGGTCTGCTTTCTCACATAGCTCAGCTGGGAATTTGTAGTTGAAAACTCCTTATTTACGAATTTTCCCTCTTGCCACTGACTTTTTAAGGGAGATGTAATGTAAAATTAACAACTGCCCCTAGACTGAACATCACCCACAGCCCAAAGACTCATTCTTCAAGTTTATCTTGAGGAATACAATGAGTTTATTGAGGGTTATTTTGTGAGCTGTGAATGGCAGTTGTGTTTACTTGAGACCATCAACCTCCCACCATCTCCAAGCTCCAGTTTTATATGGCTCTAGGTCTACAGCAGAATTGTCAAGAACCTGGGTTCAGAGCTTCCTGGTGTTAAGGCAGTGCTGGTAACTACAGGCTCAGACACATGAGGCACAGACAGAGCCAGACTGGAGGAAAGCCATGTGCTTATGCGCTCTCAGTCCTCATCCTCTTCCTGTGAGGGATTCCTCAAGACTCTGGCAGACACTGTCTGACTGCGGGAAGGATAGCTTGTTTTGCTGCAGTGTGGCATACAGGATAGCTAAATGGCAGCTTGCTGCAAGATGGAGTTACTCTGGCTAGGATTTGGAAGATTAGTCTGACCATATCTTCTGTTAGTTTACTTTAAAAGTTATGAATAGAAGCCAGGCGTGGTGGCGCACACCTTTAATCCCAGCACTTGGGAGGCAGAGGCAGGCGGATCCTTGTAAGTTTGAGGCCAGCCTGGTCTACATAGTAAGGTCCAGGACAGCTGGGGCTACAGGGAGACCCTGTCTCAAAAAGACCAAAATAGAAAAAAAAAGTTATGAATAGAATCCTGGTCACTGCAACCTTAGACTAAAAAGAACACAGGATTTGGAGTATAAATGCCTCGGACTTCTGGCCCAGGTCATCTACCAAATTTCTCTTTGTCCAGGCTCTCCAAACCGCGCTTTTTAACTATGCTGTGCACCAGCAGTGAAGTCTTCCCAGTAATTTAGTAAGCCTTGCGTGAAAAGAGCCCAGCGCTGGGCTCTGGCCCTCCACTTCAGCCAGTTCAATGACCAGGGCTAGCTCTTCTCCTTTTCTGGCATCTGGAAGTCCATTCTCTATGTAGACTCTGGCTTTGTGCCCCAAGACAACTGCCCTCCCACCAGAGTTCCACCTCTGACCTTTGAGCAAAGGCTGAGGAGGAGTGCTCAGGAGACCCCTGCCCTCTGCATTATTTCAGGGCCTGGCTTTACTTCTGCAGTCTGGCCACCAGCTGGCTATAGGGCTGCATGGACTAATGGATTCAGACAACCTAGGAGTTAATAAATATGCTTCATTGGACATTGAACAAATCTGGCCATTCTTTCTTTTCTTTTTTTTTTTTTTTTTTTTCTTTTTTTTTTTTTTTTTTTTTTTTCTTTTTTCTTTTTTTTTTTTTTTTGAGACAGAGTCCCAGTACACAATTCTGGCTGGCTTGGATCTCACTATGTAGATAGTGCGGACCTTAAACTCAGAGATCCACCTCCCTCTGCCTCCCAAGTGCTGAGATTAGGATGTGTGTCATGCCTGGCGATCTGCTGGCCATTTTTATACAGTATTGATCAACACATTGACCAAGGCATCTTCCTAAGAGCTTTTCGTTTGTCATGTCATGTGTATTCCTTTGTACCATCATATCCATTAATGTTTCAGGTTTCAAAATTTGGGATTATGGGTGTTAAGTCTGTCCTAGACTTTGCACAAAATGATGGGAATAAAGTTCTACCATGATTTGGGCCAGGACAGCTCAGTAAACGTATCCTTTGCTCCCTCTGCCCCACTGAGAGTAGATAATATTTCATGTCTTCTGCTTTACAGCTCCCAAAATGAAGATGCTTCCTTCCACTTCGATGGAAGTGGATACTCTGTTGTGGAGAAGACACTCCGGGCCACTGTGACTCAGATAATAATGCTCTTCAGCACCTTCTCACCCAATGGGCTTCTTCTTTACCTGACTTCAAATGGCACCGTAAGGGTCTTTACTGGACACTGAGCCCTCTGTGTTTGTATATTTCCATGGCTTTGATATTACTTAGGCTTGTTGTATGACTTTTCCTAGGGAAATGTGAATTAATGTCCATTCACTCCAGAAAGGGCACCGGCAAACTAAAGAATCAATTCCACCCACACTTAGCTCAGTGAGCCAGTAAGTATATTGGGTTTCCTTACAGAAGCACAGGTGAGTTGGACATGGTGCCTCACACCTTTAATCCCAGCACTCAGGAGGCAGAGGCAGGTGGATCTCTGAGATCAAGGCCAGCCAGGTCTATATATCGAATTTCAGGCCAACTGGCGCTATAGGCTGATGACCTAAGTTCCCTCCCTACAACCCACAGGGTGGAAGGAAAGAACTGACTCTCATAGTTGCCTTTTGACCTCCACATGTGCTCCCGAGCTCTCTCCCACACACACATACACACACAAATAAATAAATAAATAAATAAATAAATAAATTTATTTATTTATTTATTTATTAAAAAAACCAGCACTGGTAAGAAGTTAATTATGAGAGACTGGAGACTTGGTCACCTACGACAGCTCCAGCATTGAAAGGTCCCCCCCGCCAAGCATGGGTGATGGGTTCCCAAATACTGCATGACTTGAGTCCCCCTTCAGTTAGTCTCCCACTTCCTGTGTATCCTAGCACCTCGCAAGACCACATGTATCCTAGTACAGGTGGCTGTGAGGCACAGAAGGGAGTAAGGGGCTACAGTCTCAGATGAGGGTCACCTCCATGTCCTGTGAAGGAACATCAGCAAGCTTGATCTTGCATGGTTTCAAAGGGGTAGTAACAGCTTCCCTGATGACCATGATGAGGGAGGGTCTTGAGTCCAGAGTTCCACAGTGATGTCTATAAGGATTTGCTAATGTTAGCCTTAGCCTTTAATGGCTGTGCTATCCCTCCAGCCCTGTGGGATTTGCTGATGTAATACATGCATATTTATGTTATACATTCCCATGAGCACACATTAATGTAATATATGTGTGTGCCATATAGTTTTCCCATTTTAAATTATTTATTAATACAGATTCATGAAGAACCTTTGGAAAATACCAAAGAGCACTGAGTAGAAATGCACTTTCCAGTCAGTTCTGACATCAGTTAAGCACTTGTTAGAAATTCTAGTTGAAATAATGTCTTGTTCTTGTCAGGGTGAGCTCAGTAGAATTGTATGACTAGGAATGCTCCCCTTTAAACCTTGTATGCTGAGCACTTCCTGTCTCTCAGTGTTCAAATTTCAGTTTTGGAAATGGCACATTTGTTAGTTTACATTTTAACAAAATGCAGAGTTTGTTTCTCTTATTAAAATCTGAATTGTGGTAACATGGATGGCAGATCATTTACCTCCTGGTAGTGTTCTGGAAAGCCACTGGGGACACTTTTCCTTTTATGTAACAGCCTCCAGTTATGAATCCAGACACAGTTTCCCCAGTTTGACTTTAAAAGATTACTCCATCCCTAACTTGATGGAAAAGGAGGTCTTGGAATAAAGATGTATCCTCTGGTCTCTTCCTTACAGAAAGACTTTTTGTCTATGGAGCTGGTCCAGGGCAGGGTTAAGGTTATGGTCGACCTGGGTTCAGGACCACTCACTCTGATGACAGACAGAAGGCATAACAATGGAACCTGGTACAAAATCGCCTTCCAGCGAAACTGAAAGCAAGGTAGGTGCAAGGAATGGACTCCCAGAATGCTGGTTGCCCTCTAAGGCAAATAACACTGCCAAGTCCACAGTCTTTGTTCTACGTTAGCTTCCTGGTGGATCTTGATGATAGTGGAGTCCATCACTTAACCATTCACCACCTAGAAATGGCTACGTTCCTTAGTGATAGTCTAAGTGCCACCATTGGCTTGAAATGGCAGGGAATATTATAATTCTGTTTGTCTGTGGTCTCATTATAGCTCATTAAATGCAAATTGGAAACAAGAATCAACCCCTTTCTACTTTCCACATACCTACTGTTATCATCAGAGATGTGTATTCTGGATCTGTTGATTTTTGTGGAGAGTATTTCTCTTTAGTCCTTTAATAATGTGGAGCAGTACTGGTCAAAGTTGCAGAATTTACAAGAATGCCTTCGTAAGTGAATTCTGATGGCAGAAGTTTGCATTTACTTGGACAGGGAAGGTGATTTTATCTCTTCCTTTCCGTGTCCTTCTAGGAGTCCTGTCTGTCATTGATGCCTATGACAGCAATGACAAGGAGACCAAGCAAGGAGAAACCCCAGGAGCCTCTTCTGACGTCAACCGGCTAGAGAAAGATCTGATTTATGTGGGTGGATTACCTCACTCAAGAGTTGTAAGGTATGATATGAAAGTGTAGAATTCTCAGGTCTCTGATGACCAAACATACAAGTGGTTCTTTGTTGTTCCCTACAGGAAGGGGGTCAGCAGCAGAAGCTATGTGGGCTGTATCAAGAACCTGGAAATATCCAGATCCACCTTTGATTTGCTTAGAAATTCCTATGGAGTGAGAAAAGGCTGTGTGCTAGAGGTGGGAAGCGTTTTCCTGAATATTGGGATAAATTTCTCTAGAAGCCCAGTGTTTATACACATAGCAAAGGGACAAGATCTCAACCAGTAGATGGGAAGAATGTGGGGGAGAATGTGAAGGAGACGGGAAGTACCACCCCCAACCGTGCACCTACCCCTCCCCGGCAGATGGCCCTCACTCTGTTCTCCCCTCTGTCACCAGCCCATCCGGAGTGTGAGCTTCCTGAGAGGTGGCTACATCGAGGTGACACCCAAGTCTTTATTGCCGGAGTCAGAACTTCTGGCCACATTCATTACCACCAACAGCAGTGGCATCATCCTGGCTGCGTTGGGCAAGGATGTGGAGAAACAGGGTCTGTCTCAGGCACACATGGTGAGTAGCTCTGACCCTCAAGAAAGAAATGACTTCCGGAAAATTTCTGACTCATGCAGGTTTTCTGTAGCTGTTTACCCAGGTAGTTATATATGTACTTTTTACAAAGACTGACTTATTTTTATCTTACATTTATAAAAGTTTTGCCTGCATGTATGTTTGTGCACCCGTGAATGAAATGGCCATGGAGGCCAGAAGAGGACGTCAGATCCCCTGAACTGGCATTACAGACAGTTGTTAGCTGCCATGTGTGTGCTGGAAACTGAACCCAGGTCCTCTGCAAAAGCAGCTAGTGCTCTCAACTGCGGAGCCAGCTCTCCAGCCCATAGATGTGTCCTACTAATGAGTAAAATCTGTTACACTGCTGAAAGTTATTCCAAGCATTGATTTCCTGTGTTGCATAATCTATCTTCTGTATCTAGCAATGGGGAAAAAGCCATTTGCTGTCCACCTCTACCTAAGCACCTCCCACTCCACCTCTACCTAAGCTCCTCCCACTCCACCTCTACCTAAGCACCTCCCACTGGAACATCCCAAGTTTCCTTCCATGAGATTCACTTGTTCCCTTTTATTCTAGGGCTAAAACAGCTTTTCTTACATTCTTTGTGGGATTTTTTTTTCTTTCTTTTTTTTGGTCTTTTTGAGACAGGGTCTCCCTGTAGCTCCAGCTGTCCTGGAATTCACTATGTAGACCAGGCTGGCCTTGAACTCACATAGATACACCTGCCTCTGCCTCCCAAGTGCTGGGATTAAAGGCGTGTGCCACCACACCCAGCTGGGATTTTCTTTATTATAAATGTGAAAGACTGTGGCCTGTGGTAGGCCCAGTGGCCCTGCAATGGGAGAAGACAGAAAGGATGACAATTTTCCATAGTTTCATTTCACACAAGAGACAGAAAGGATGAAGATAGAAAGGATGACAATTTTCCATAGTTTCATTTCACTCTAGAGAGTTTTACCCTATTCTCTGTTCAAATCTGTGTTATAACTGGATTGCATTAGAGTGTTCTCCTAATGAAAAAAAACCTGTGCATGTACAACTTACAGAATGGTTCTGCTGCCCAAGACACTCTGCAGACATTGCTGTGTGACTATCACAACTCACACTTCAGGGTGGATACTACTGAGTAAAACATAGTCTCAGAGAGTCTCATTAACCTGCCCAGGATCACACAGCTGTTATGTGTCAGAGCCAAGATCAGAACACCAGTCTCTAGACCCAAAATACAGCATAGCTCACTTAACCAAGGCTGACCATGACCTGAATTCCTTGTGTGGGCTTCATTAATCATTTTTTCAGTTGAAATGAAGTTTGTGTAAAATTAAACATTTTAAAGAGAATCATTCAACAACACTTAGTGCATTTGTAAAGTAATGGAGTCATATCCTTTATCTGGTTCTAAACGTTTCCATCAACGAAACTAACAGCTTTTGCCAAGGCAGGAGTTACTTTTCATTCTCCCTTCCCCACTCCTGGAAACCAGAAAGCTGTTCTCTTTATCTGTGATGGATAAGTATTATGAATAATTCACGTGTATTGCATCATGATATTTATGGTCTTTACTGAGTGTGTTTTCAAGGTTTGTCCACACTCTAGTTTGTAGCAAGACCCCATTCATTTTATTGCTCATGGTATTTCCCTGCATATGCACCACAGTTTATCAGCTTGCTAAGGGAAACTGAGTTATTTCTACTTTTTGACTATTCATATATAAATGTTTATGTCCCCACCTTCCTTTCTTATGGGTCTATCTGTACCTTCAAGTAGAATTTTCTGGTGATGTAGTAATTCTCTTTTACCTTTTGAGGACCTACCAGATGCTTTTCTTCCACCCATCTTGATAGGGTTACTTGCAAATCAGAGTTTTCCTACTGAGCCTGCAAACCAGAATGGTATCGCTCTCTTTTAGCAAGGGTGTGGGGAAACACATTTCAGTTTTGCAGATGGCTTTAAAAAATGTTATACTTCTTTTCAATGTTATGAAAAAGTTTTAAGAACTTTAAATATCTTTAGACCTTTCAAGTTCTTCATGCCATTTTTAGAAATATTGAAAGCAATTCCATAGGCAAAAAAGAAAATCAAATTAAATGGTCACATTAAGATACTAAAAAAATTTAAGTTTTTAAAAATTTCCTTGATGAAAAAATTATTTATGTCAGACATGGTGGCCCACGCTCATTAGGAAAGCAGAGACAGGCAGATCTCTATGAGTTCGTGTCCAGCCTAGTCTACATAAGTGAGTTCCAATTCAACCAGGAGCTACTTAGTGAGACTATGTATGTCTCTCAAAAAGAAATTGTCTACTTTTTGGTTTATCACACATCAGTAAATATTAAGTATGAGGCTTTGCAGAAATGGAAATCTTTGACATGATTAGTGACATGATTAGCTTAGTGTAGTGTAAATTGTAGGAACACAGATTAGAAAGCAATATACCAGATCTAAAGTAGTCATAACCGATGGTGAAACTCATACCTTGCATTAATATGCCTATGTTATCTATGTAAGATGACACTGTTAAGAACCCTTTAATGATGTGCTTTGTTGGGGACACCGCATCCTTCTCAGCCCTTCTTTGCCATCATGCTGATCGAAGGCCACATTGAAGTGTATGTCAACTCTGGGGATGGGACCAGCCTGAGGAAGGCCCTCCTGCATGCTCCCACCACCTCATATAGTGATGGACAAGAGCATTCCATCTCCTTGATTAGGAACCAGAGGTATGTAGCTCAAAAGCTTGTCAGAGGTAGGGTGACCTTGAACAGGCTCTCTACCAGGAGCCTCGTGGCTTATTCAATAAGGTTAAATGACTGGGATAGTTGGTGTGCCATCACTAACATTCATAGTTCCCATTGTTCCAAAGTAATTCTAGGAACTTGACAAAATTTTTTCGTGGGAGTCAGTTCATCTTTGTAGCAATATATTTGTGGGGTTTTTGTAATTGAGGACCTTAACCTTGTCCTTTACTTGAGTCCAATCTAAACTGTTTATGAAGTGGATTAATTCAGTTGCACCAGTATGCTAGTATCAGTGCATAGTGTTGGATATCAACAGTAAATATTATTATGTCAGCATCCTAGATATGTCCCTCTGAAACTAGACCACCTGTTTTAAAGACACTGGACATTTTCATGGTAGGTAAAGAGGTGTATTATTAATACATACATATTTGCCTCTAAAAAACAATCAAACTCAATGATTTGTAATAAAATTTCAAATGCATGTTTTAAAAATTTTATTATTTTTATTTGATGTGTATGAGTATGGCCTGCATATATGTAAGTGCACCGTGTCATGCAGTGGCACCTGTGTCATGCAGTGCCCATGGAGGACAGAAGAGGGTGTCGAATCCTCTGGGACTGGAATTATAGGCAGTTGTTAGCTGCCATGTGGATGGTTGGAATTGAACCCGGGTCCTCTACAAGAGCAGCCAGTATCTCTCCAGTCCCTTAACTGCGGGTTTTAATTTTCAAGATTCACATGCAATGTCATGTTAAAATTTATCTTTAGGGAAATTTACGATTTTAAAAGAACTTGCTAGAATTGTATGTTAAAATGGTGGTATGGTCTCATTGTTTGTGAAAGGTTTATTTTCTCCTTTGATCTGTTAGAGTTATCACTGTGCAAGTAGATGAGAGCAATCCTGTAGAAATGAAGTTGGGCCCATTAGCAGAAAGAAGGACCATCGACATATCCAACCTTTTCATAGGAGGACTTCCCGAGAGCACAGGGACACCGATGCTCAAGATGAAGACATCATTCCATGGCTGTATCAGAGATTTGGTCTTCAACATGGAGTGAGTGTCGCTGGCTTTCAGCCTGTTCCTGCACCTTCTGATTTTTACTGACAAGTACTAGCACTAATCTGCCCTCTAACTTTTTGGTTGGAGATTGCCTTAAGTTCTTCAGACTTTTCTCTAACACTGGCCTCCTTGTCATTTAAGCTCTTCAAGTGGATCCTATAGAGTTAGTGTGGTGGACTGATCTGGCCATCATACTTTATTTCTTAAAAATCATTGATCACTAGCCACATGAGTTTATCAATAAATAAATAGCTGAGGTGAAAATAGACTTCAGACAAGCACTTAAAGGGCACTGAGATTTTGATACAAGTGTTTTGCTGTACTGAGGCATGCATTTCCTCTGTGTGTGCGTGCACACATGACCCAAGTGCCCCCTTGAAGGAACCTAACTGGATTGCTGGCAGCTTCATATCAATAATGACTTTCCCTAAAGCAAGTGCTGTATAATTAAAAACTTGACATCTCCATTCTCTGTGAGGAAGCGCATCATTATGTGTCCAAGGGCTGTTTATTCTTCTTCCCTCGAGCTCCATCCACCTTGGGCTGAAGGTAAGAAGCTGTGCTTCAACCTGCAGGCCAGGGTCTGCCTACAGACATGTGCTCAGTATCAAGAGACACTGGCTCCATCCTGGCTGGGCTGTTGGCCTGTTTGTGACCTTGAGCAAGGACATGAGCTTTTCGAAATCACAGTGTCCTCTGTTAAGTTTCCTCCTAGGAGTCCCTGAACATGACAAGAATAAGGTATATAGTGTGGGTTCCAACACCATGTCAGAGCCTTGGGTCAGTTATTTGACCAGTCATTATATTCATTCACTAGTTAGCTGTTTGTCCATTCCTTCATAGATTAGGCACCTTCGTGCTCTGTAAAGCCATGAAGCTCTGGACTCTATAACAAGACAGCTCTGTATGGTTAGAGTTGTGTCCTGGGGTGGTGCCAGTGGGCTCCATGTAAGCACAGGACACACTATTAGAGCTGCAGAGTAGACAGACAGGTGACAGTCACAGTTTACAACAGGGAATCTGGGTTTAATGGATACCATGTGCGGTGCTGTCCAGGAACCAGACACTTTACCTGGAGAACCCAATCTAGCCTATAAGAGGCGACAGCTTTGAGCCTGCTCTGAGCTCAGGAATGTCCAGGTCACCAGCATGGGCCTGAGCTAGGGGTGAGTTGTTATTTCGAGCAGAACCAATCAGGAATATGGTGTGTTCCATGTGACTCAGGCATTGTGAAAAACGATCATGCTGGTTACCCTGAGAGAATAGGTCAGTAGTTTGAAATGGGTTTAGTTGTTCAGTCATTGAATGATTTGGGCTCCCGTGTTGGTTTATGATGTTTCCACTTCTAAATGCTTCCTTGTTTGTCTGTAGACTTTTGGACTTCACCCATGCGATTGGCTATGAACGAATAGAATTGGACACCTGCTTGCTTGCAGAAGAGCCAAAGCCTGGAGAGCACAGGGAACTCCCACCAGAGCCCCTGGCGCTAGCACGTCCTGTAAGCATGACTTCATTTAATGGCATCCACCAGGTCTGGTCAGGAAGAAAGTCACATGTCAGTGGGAGTGGACATGGGACCCAGGCAAATAGGTTCTGGGAGAGCTGGAACTGAAGCCAGAAAGCAATGGGAAGGGACAGTGTCACCAGTACCCAGGAGCCAGGGCAACATGAGAGAAGGATGGAGAGCAGAGAAAGTGGGAACTGAGTCCCAGGGGAGCCACAGGAAGCTAGAGGGAGGGGCAAGTACCCCAGTTGTGCCCTTTCCCTTCCCTCCAGAGCCCTAGCTGTCCCCTCTCTCTGGTCTCCAGTCCCCCGGCTGTGCCCTCTCTTTAGCCTCCAGTCCACTAGCTGTCCCCTCTCTCTGGCCTACAGGCTCCCAGCTGTGCCGTCTCCCTGCCCTCAAGTCCCCCAGATGGGCCTTGCAATGGTAGAATATCTGGGAGCCATTTTTCTATGGAGCCTGGGAACATGGTTCATGAGATCCCCCCCCAACCCACCCCCATGGGGACAAAGTGGAGATGCTTCTCTGAGCCAACATGTAGGCGACACAGCTCAGCATTTTCAGGTGCAGGGCAGACACTCAGCACCTGAATAGGCTGACATTCCTCAAGCTTTTTGGCAGTTTCCGTAATGCCTCCTTAGCTCTTTAGATTTAGGTGGGAAACATGAAAATCAGCACTTAGCATGAGCCACTGTATATACTCATCAATGCTTAAGAAGAGAGATTTCGTTCACTTAGTAAAATCTGGTCATTGCTCTTTTTCATTTTGTTCTTTTCTGATTTCTCTGTCTCCTTGCTTAGCAGTGTGAACTTTAATAATTCATAGGCTGGTGTGGTTACCTAAGAGCAGTACCTTCTAAGCAGGGCCCAAGAGTTCCGGACAGTTGTGTCTTCCCACTTGAAGCCACAAAACTGAGTCTGGAACTCACTTGACATGAGGTTCTGTGTGATACACAGGTGGGAGCAGTCAACACTGCCCAAGTCCCTGTGCTATGCTCCCCACATCTGACTCTGGGCCTAGGAGCCCTTCCAGCCCTGCTCCCCTCATGCCACTCTGCTCCCATCCATGTGAACTTAGAGATGACAAAGTCAAGGCCCTGTGAGGCCTGAAGGGCACTTTGATCTCTCAGTGGTGTCTGTGCTGTGGTTGCTCCCTGACCATAGGCCTCCTTGGGGCCATTCCCAGAGCCTTGGAGGGACAGCAGGGCCTTTGCCCTTTAGGTCTGATGAAGGTTCATGGAGAATTCTAGTATCCGTCTGAAGGAACGTGAACTTGAGTGATGAAGGTAAAAGATGGAAGCTTGAATTTCTGTCTCAGGAGAAAAGGGGCTGGGGTTGCATAGTTTAAAGAAAAGCTCCAGATGAGCCAAAGCACATTGGTGGCGGCAGCTGGTCTTGCTCAGTGGCTTCTAGACATTTTCTTTATGTATGTGTCAGTGAGACCCTGGCTGCAGTGGCTGAGGGTCTCTGTGCACTTCTTTCAGGAACAGTGTGCAGTGGACCCAACTCCAGGATATGTTCCCAGTGCTCACCAGTTTGGCCTCTCACAAAGTAGCCACTTAGTGTTGCCTTTTAATCAGTCTGCCGTCAGAAAGAGGTAAGCATTGACTTGAAGCCCCTCTGAGGTTTTCACTGCCAGATGATTAGGCAAGTGTATTGTGTCTTCTGAGAGCGCCTCATGTGGATACAAATTTGCCCACAGCCGAGGGGTGCAGCTCCCACATGGACCCCAGAAGAGACCACCCTTGTCAGCTATAATTAGGCCCTACATGCTAACATACCCTCAGTTGTCCTTAAACAGATAAAGGCTTGCCCATTCAGCAATATGGGGTGTTGCTTCCTTTCTTCATTTCAGAGCTCAACTGCAGTGTCTTCTTTTCAGAGTTGTCCACCCTGACTACTAATACAGCCACCAGCGGCCCCTCTATGGAGCAGTATCACTCTCCAACAATCTTCCTGCTTTGGTTTCATGGAAGAAGGATTTCTTCCTCACTTACTATTATCCTAGAATAGTTCCCAGCGGTCTGTAGCCATCCGTGCAGTGAATGCAGGCCTAAGTGAAGGAGCCCATGTCTCTTGAGAAGTGTATTCATGCTGAAGCAGTGATGGGGTTCCTGGTGTTAAGTTCCTGTTCTACCCCCAGGCTCTTGGTTCAGCTGAGCATCAGAACATTTGCCTCCAGTGACCTCATTTACCACATGGCTCACCAGAACCAAATGGATTATGCCATGCTCCAGCTCCATGAGGGCCACCTGTGCTTCACGTTTGACCTTGGCAAAGGCCAAACCAAGGTCTCTCACCCCTCGCTGTTCAGTGATGGCAAGTGGCACACAGTAATTCCTCAGGAGGCCTGTGGTCACCTGTCCAAACTTTGCTCCCCTGATCCTCCTACTCACTCCATTTTCCTGAAGGGCATCTATGCTTTTGAGCCCTAGCTGGCCTTACATCTGGCATTCCCTTACCCCTCCCTTAGAATACAAGGTTCTGGAAGGTGGGGCCCATTGCTGTGTCCTGAAATAGCTCCAAGTGCTTACTCAGATACACAATTAACACACAGCAACTGCTAACATAATGGATGGAAGATTCCAGAAGTGTTTCTGATTTGGCAAGAAGCAGTAAAGCCCACTTGGCATGAAAGTACTGAGCCACCCATCTTGGCATCAGCTTCCTAGAAACCAGGGCTGAAGCTCTGCTGTGTCTTTCTGCCCTCCACCAGGCTCAGCACCAACTATGCCACAGCAGAGCCATCCTGCTGGGGTTTTTTTAGGCTCTTAGAGCTAACTCTAAGGAACATGCCTGGCAAGCACACATCTGTTAAAGTTTTCTCAAGTCACAAATTCTGGATGTTTTCATCTTGCTGTAGGTCAAGACAGAGTACATTAAGAGAAAAGGCTTCATGACTGTTGATGGCCAAGAGTCCCCTGCAGTGACAGTGGTGGGAAATGGAACCACACTGGATGTGGAAGGGAAGCTGTACCTTGGAGGTCTTCCTGTCCAGTACAGGGCTAGGAACATTGGGAATGTAAGCGGCATCCTCTGCACAGGGCCCATGTTACCTTGCTGTGGTTGTGTTGTGTTTAAGCATTCTCCACATGCTTATGTTTAAATGATTTTGTATGAACCTGGGGCTACCAAAAGGTGCAGGCCATTCAAAGCATTTTCATGGATCATATGTTAGGGGTTTTCCTTAAAGCCTTCCAGCTTTTCCAGTCTTCTGGTTAATGAACTTTTCCATTTCCCAGAACAATTCTGGAAAAGTCTAGTACATTTATATTTGTACACTAATAAAAGAAACCTTATGGATTTGCACAGTGTTTCAGTAAAACAATCTAACACTTCTGTGTTATTAGCAAAGAACTCAAATGAGAGCACTAAAACATTCACATGAAGGATTGCAACAATTAAATTGTAAAAACCAACATGGTATTGCAATGTGTGATGTTGATGCAAATCTAATTAAAGTGCAGGAAAAATGTGTCTCTCTCTTGTCATAATCACCACCTGCTCTCTCACATCACCTGGTTTAGATCACCCACAGCATCCCTGCCTGCATTGGAGAAGTGACAGTTAATGGCAAACAGCTAAACAAGGACAGCCCGATGTCTGCCTTTGCTGTGGATAAGTGCTATGCAGTAGCCCAGGGAGGAACTTTCTTTGAAGGAAGTGGATATGCAGCTCTTGGTATGTGCCATCAGCAGTCTTGGAAGAAGTCCTGGGGTTTGGCGTGTACTCTTAAGATGACGTGGATTTAGAGGTGATAGGATAGGACCCAGGAAAGGCTGTCTAAAGTTGTACTTATTTAGTTCAGTATTCTGGTCTGTTCTTAAGTTTTTGCCTGTTCATGCAAAAGTCTGCTCAGGTCATATGCTCTCCAGGTGGCCTAATGGAGGCTTTCACTGGACTGGAGTCCAACGAGGGCAGTCTCTGAGACTCACTTGCACTTTCCCCAAGTCTATGTAGGGTAAACTCCCTGTCCAAGTTAATAAAACCTTTGAATTGAAAACAGAAATGTGACCAGGCACAAAGGTATACACACCTGTAATGCCAGGGCTCAAGAGGATTATAAATAGACTAACCTGACAGTAAGACTGCATCTTGAAACAACAAAAGCAGTATTTCCTTAGAGATAAGAATGCTAAGGCCTTGTCAGGGGCGTGGTGGCACATGTCTTTAAAACCAGCACTTGGGAGGCAGAGGCAAGCAGATCTCTGTGAGTTCGAGGCCAGCCTGGTCTACATAGTGAGTTCCAGGACAGCTGGGGCTAGAGGAAAACTCTGTCTCAAAAATGCCAAAAAAAAAAAAACCAAACCCAAATAAACAAACAAAAAGAATGCATGGCCTAGAGGGGAGGGGAAGAGGGACTCACTGGTAGGTATAGAGCTGCATCCAGAGCAGAACTGGAACCCAGTCTTGAACTTAGCCAGAAGCCTGAATGCTTAGATGCTTAGCCTGCCCAGACAATCCAATCTGTGGATTCTCACTGTGACCTAATATTGTCCTTATTTTTTTATTTTTGTTTTGTTTTGTTTTCAGTCAAGGAAGACTACAGAGTCTGATCAGATTTAAACATCACACTGGAATTTCGTACCTCTGCTAAGAATGGCATCCTCCTGGGGATCAGTAGTGCCAAAGTGGACGCCACTGGCCTAGAGATTGTAGATGGCAAGGTAGGTGCTCCACCACCGTGGACCTCCCTCCCCACAGGCCAGAGGCAGAGCAGGAAAGAGTTGATAGACATGCTTAGATACACATTTCTCATTATCTGCTTTATTAATGGAGACAACATAAGTTTCCATTACTATTTTTTAAATTAGATAGCCCTAAAAATATTTTCAAAGTAATTTTAAAAAATATTATTTTTATTTTATGTATATGGGCATATTGTCTGCATGTATATAAGTGCTCCTGTGTCGTAGGATGCCCGTTAAGGTCAGGAGAGGGCATTGGATCCCCTGGAACTAGAGTTAGGATGGTTGTTAGCCACCATGTGGGTGCTGGGAATCGAACCCAGGTCCTCTCCAAGGTCAGCCAGTGCTCTTAACCACTGAGCCATCTCTCCAGCCCCTCAAAGTAATTTTTTATATATTGAAATTAACCATATATAAAATTTCAGCTGTAATTCAGACATTTTTGTTTAAACGTTATCAGCAAGAAGATGTTGACTTCATGCTCTGTGTCTTCTAATATTTTAAAATCTTCACATACAAATCAGTACAGAGTCACACAAAGGTATATCCTCCCTCCAGGCTTCCTAGAGGACCACACTGAATCCACACTGTGGACACCCTCACAGAGCTTGTTTGGTGGTATCAGTTATGTGGATGTGTATAGCTTGTGATACACAAATGGAACCATTACCTCCCTCAAGATCCACTGTAACTCTACTAGTATCACAAGGCTCCTCCCAAGTTGCCCCTTCATAGCCACAATATCACATAGCTCCTCCCTGCCCCTACCCTCTTGGCAGGGACTGTCTCCATCTCTCAGCTATTCTTTCTCAAGTGGTAATATAATGAGTTTGTGCAGTAAGTTTCTCCTTGAGACTGGGATACTTACTTTGTGCACTCAGCCTTATTTCCTGACAGTGCATCCAGGCTACATCTAGCAACAGTTCATCACTTTATTATAGAATGTTACTTCATGGGTCCAGTATACTGTGTTTTTGTTTTTGTTTTTAGTAGTCAAATAGTTCATTTATTAATCCATTTGTAAAAGTTTTTAAAGTGACACAATGCTTCTCCTCCTTTTTTTTCTTGATTTTTTTAACAAGGTTTTTTATTTATTATTTTTACTTTTTAAAAAAATTAATAACCACATGATTAGAAGAAGCATTTCATTACAGCATAACATAATCAATAACAATTTCCAGAGCAAAGATGCATGTCTTTCAAAATTGGCTATATATTTTTAGGATCATAGTTGAATTAATATAGTTATACAGTATTGAACTCAGTATAAACCCTATACGACATAAAGTTGAATGAGGTTTGAGACAAAGTTCCCTATAGCCCGGGTCTACTGTCTATGTAGACCAGGCTGGCCTTGATCTCACAGAGATCTGCCTGCCTCTGCCTCTGTCTCTGAGTGCTGAGATTAAAGGCATGCACCACCACATGCAGCTTTACTTAAGTTTTGTTTAATGCCAAAACAAAAAGTGATTTTTTTTCCTATACCTTTTCTGCCCTGTTATGAGCCTGTCAAAGTCCCTCATGTTGGGAACAACATGAACTCAGTCCTTCCCAGTACTTTCATCTCTTCTGCTATGTATCTAGGTCCTCAGGAGTTGCTCCTGTATTCACGCTCTCTCCTCACCCCTTTGGGGCCTTGTCTGCACAGGCAAGATGCAAGGAAGGGCATCTGGGCAACCCCTCTCTTTTCTCACATGTGGTTGCAGGTGAGGTCTGGCCTCCATGTGCTTGACTCTTGCCGTAAGTGGCCTGGGGTCTCAATGTTGCCAGAGTATGTGGCCCTCAGACCTTGGGAACCAGTCTTCCCAGGTGTCTTTCCTACTGCTGCTTCTTCAGCTGGAGCCACCATCCAGCTCCCACTGCTCACTGTATGAGAGAATTGGGAGTATCTGCTATGCCACACAAGGCCACTGAAGCCAGGGATGATGGCTATACTGTTGGAATAAGATGCTGGAATTTTCCTTTGGGAAGGCAAGGAACATTGTGCCACTCCAGAATTCACAAGCTGAGCTCCTAACTATCAGCATCTCTCCGGTTGTGATTTTGTTTGGACATAGGGACACCGAGGCAGTTAAGGGGTAGCAAGGTGGTTCATCGGATAAAGGCACCTGATGCAAAGTCTGACAACCTGAATTCAATCCCTGGCACCCACAGGGAAGAAGGAGAGCAATGACACCTTCAAGCTGACATCTGACCTCCACACTCTTACTGTACTGCACACACATGCACGCACACTGAATAAACAAATGAATGTTAATAAATGCAAATAAAAGTGGTAATTAAGTTAAAATTAGGTCAGTAAGTTGGGTTCTGATCTAATATGTGTCCTCATGAAAAGGAAGCATCAGAACGCACACACAGAGAAGGGAGAGGGATACTGGGAGTTAGAACTTTAGCATGTGAATTTTGGGATGACACCAAACATGATGTTCTTCAGCCGAGAATATCTCTATCCTTTACAAAGCTCTAATTTTTTGTTGTTGTTCCAACCAGTGTTGTAGAGCATCGATGGTTTGTCAGAAGAAAGTTTGTATATGTTCCTGTGTAAGTGCTGTCAACTCATAGTCTCAATGAGTCTAGGAGCTCTCCAAAATGTTCTGCAGTACACTGAAAATGAGACACAATGTGACCAGTTCACCTTTCAGAATTGTGGGGACTGGGATAGAGCCTGAGCCTCTTAGAAGTTGATTTTCCATCACCATTATTTGTTTCTAACAGTTGGTGTTCCTGGTTTGCAGGATGCTGTGAATTGATCCACTCAGAACATTGTACACATGAATTGTGTGCCATGGATCTTGGCCTTCTTGCTAAGATCAAGTGCAAATGGACAGTGTTCCTAAATGTACAAAAACTCACCAAGATACTTACATTGTTCAGGTCTTGTTTCACGTCAACAATGGTGCTGGTAGGATAACAGCCACATAAGAACCGGTAGCCACCAGAATGCTGTGTGATGGGAAATGAATGGCACACAGTCCAAGCCCACAAAAGCAAGCACTGCATTGTCCTGATTGTGGATGGGAACGCTGTTAGGGCTGAAAGTCCTCACACTCAGTCCACCTCTGCGGACACTAATGACCACTAATGTGGGTGGCTTTCTTGGTATGTATGAATACCTGCTCTGCTTATCCACGTGGAGGGCTCAACACTGGGGGAGGTCTGAACTCAAGGCAATATGGAATAGGGATTCAGAGAGATACACAGTTTAATGACAAGTCTCACCATTTATGAAAAGCTACTTCAAATACTATACCTAAATATTCTTGGGAAAATTAGCATAGCCTCCTGCTGACTGCTACAAGTAAGCCCATGGTCTTACAGTCTCCTTAGACCACTCCTAAGGCTGAGGATTGACATTGCAGGGAATAAACTCATGATTCATCCTCTTGTGTTAATTTTACAGTAGAATTATGCATTTAAGATGCCCAAGGAATGTATTATAGATACTGAACATCTTTGTATGACTTTTTAAGTCACAACTATGCCTTAAAATGATTACATATCAAACATTTTTAAGAATGCTCCCTCTCACTAAAGCCGCATATTGGAGAAAATATTCTGATTTGATAGAGGACCCACTTGAGGTTATTTTTGTCCCTAATGTACTTGTCTTTTTTTTCTGGAACAGCCAGTGTCAAGCAGAACTGTCTGAGTGGCCGGACCTCATTCCAGGGATGTTTGAGGAAGCTCAGGCTGATCAGGGGCCCACTGGTGCAGTCCTTGGACTTGAGCAGAGCCTTTGACCTACGAGGAGTCTTCCCTCATTCCTGTCCTGGGCCTGAGCCCTAAACTTCTATCAGAATCCTCTATTGGAATCATTGCTATTATATTGAGGAGAAACAGTTTGTAAACTCAGATGTCTTCCATTCAGACTTCATTTCCAACTCAGGTTATATGTTTCCAGAGAGAAATATGTTTATGTTAAACTAAAGCCACATGTACAACAGATACCTCTATTAAATAGTCTAAAATACCAACTGAATTTATTGTCTCTCATTTTAAAGGTTTTTTTAATGGATATCTATGAGCATTGAGCATCTATTATTTGATAGTGTTTTCTGGTTTGCATTTTGAGGTTAAAAAATAAAGTATCTGCACAGACTATATTAACTTACAGCAGAACATAGGTAATTTCATTTCTTTAAAAAAAAACTTTTATGTGTCTGTGAGTGTTCTATGTGTGTGCAGTGCCCATGGAGGCCAAAAGAGGGTGTCAGATTCTCTGGAGCTGGGGTTACAGTTGTTAGCCACCAAGTGGAAGCTAGGAACTTTCTGAACCCAGGTTCTCTGGAAGAGTACCCACTGAGCCATCTCTCCAGGTCCTGATCATTTCTTTTTAGAAACTTTAAACATGGGTATCAACAACAGGCAGTGTAATTGGTTACACTCCAGCAGAGGTCAACAGCTGTTGACCAAAGAAGCCTAAATCAACCCAGCATGTCATCTTAGCAAAGGGAACCTTGGAAGGAAAGGACAGCCTATTTATGTACCAGCTCTGTCAGGACCTGATCTAGCAAAGTTTTTCACAAGGAAAAAAAAAATCACAAGCTAACAAGCTAGTTCATCCTTTAGAGGAGGTCTTAAATGTTCTAATCACTTGTGAATGCAAAGGTAACTGTGAGGTGATAGACATACTATTTAACTTGATTTTGATAATTATTTCATGATGAATATATTTGTTAAAACAGGTTGAATACCTTAAGCATTATTTTTTAAATATTATTTTTTAATTATGTGTGTGGGTTTGTGCACTTGAGTGCAGGTGTCTACCAAGGCCAGAGCAGCTGCCAGCTGTGAGCTGCCAGACTTGGGTGCTAGGAACCCAATTCAAGTCCTGCCAGAGCAGAATGTGCTCTTACCTGATGAGCCATCTCTCCAGCCCTAACACATACAATTTTTATTTTTCAATTATACCTGGATACATCTAGAGAAAGAAGATTCAGAAAGTAAACAAAAGTAATTCAAGACGACACAGCTGTGAAGTCAAGAGCTGTCTGTACCCTATTGCTCTAATCAGTAATGAAAATTTAAAGAGAACTCTTTCAAGGTTAGGAGAAAATTATAGTCCCCTGGAAAAAATATGTGACTTTTCCATTTTGCACAATTTAAGAGAATTCACAAATTCCATGAAGCTCATGTAAGTATCAGCAAATTCTTGATTTAATTAAGAATCTCAAATTGACCCATCAGTCCTGTATGGTGGTACATGTCATCAGTCCCAATTAGGAGGTGGAGGCAGGCAGATTTCTATGAGTTTACAGCTTGCCTGGTCTACATAGTAAGCTACAGGCTAGCCAAGGCAATATAGTGAGACCCTGTCTCCCCCCAAAATGTTGACAGTTCAAGTCTGGCATTGTCCATTGGACTTTCCTGTATATATACACTTTAAGAGTCACAATAAAAATCAACAGCTGCTGTTTTTATCTAGAAATGAAGGCCTGATGTGCATAATACATTACAGGTTTTCCTATTTGGTGTGCCTGTACAACCATCTGTAAAAGGACTATACATAATTGCATATGCGTGTCAATACAGGTTTATGAATTAAGTATCAACTTAGTTGTCCAAACCCAAAATTGAGATAAAAAATACATATGTGTTCTATCAGTATTGCTGGGACCATGTGTCTTTCATCTAAAATATGTATCTAGGGATCAGTTGTGGCATCATGAAATAGACTTGGGAAGCCAAGGCTTTGCAGAATGTGCAGCAGTGGCCAATTTAGAAAGTTTTCATAAACATGGTTGTGTTCAGACTGGAGATCAGGGTGTGGCAATGAGAGACATGGGCCCAAACTGCTTATCTCAAAGAAGGAGAACTATTATCCTAAAAAGGTGAGGACAGAGAGGAGAGCAGGCAGAGCCTGATCATAGAGAGGCCAGCAGAGCTGAGCAGGTAAGCGAGACTAAGCAAGGTGTGTCATGAAGCATCCAGAATTTTCCATTGAGAGTGTTACAGTAAAATGATACACTCTAAATCATAAACTGCCTGGAAAGTGCAGCCTGAGTGTGATGGTTAATATTGTCAACTTGACAGGTCCTAAGAGACAAGCCTCTAGGCATGCCTTCGTGGGCTTATCTAGAATACCCACCCTTATTTCCAGGCCAGGGACAAATGAAAGGAGATGAACACTAGCATCTGTCCCTCTGCTTCCTGACTGTGGATGCAGTGTGAATAACCAACCACCCACTCTTGCCACCATGATGTCCCTGCCATGGAATGTATCCCCTTGAACTGTAAGCCAACACAAGCCTCTTCTCCTTTAAGTTGCTTTTGTCAGGATATTTTATCACAGCAACAGGAAAAGTACCACACTGAGTCAGCTGGCTGACCAAGACTAATTAAGTGGTGGAGGATGCCCAGGGCAGTGATAAGGCACTAGAAGAAGAGGTATGTGATCTGGAGCTGTGAGCTTTAGGCAATGAAGTAAGAATTATGTTGCTCAGCATGGGGCTTGGGAAATGGTGGTTTAATGAGTGGAAGATATAAAATGAGAAAAAATGACTCAGTTTTGAATGCTGCATTTGAGAGTGTGGTGAGATATGTGACAGGACGTGTCCTGACTACTTGGTGAGAAATGCTGGTCAGATGATCCACAGAGCTGGCTAATGGGCAAAGCCCTTGGGTACTGCTGACCCTTCAGCATGGCATGATCACCACTGAGCTCTGATTAAACATCAGGACAGACCATAGGGGGGTGGAGAAATGGCTCAATGATTAAGAGTGTGTACTGCTCTTGCAGAGGACTGGAGTTCAATTACCAGCACCTACATTGAATGGCTCAGAACTGCCTGTAACTCCAGCTCCAGAGGATGTGATGCCCTCTTCTGTCTTCCACAGGCAGTGCACTCCCATGTATATATGTATACATAAACACATGTATATGTATCATTAAAAATATAGACTCTTTGAGAAAAAAAAAGATGAACTATAATGAAAGTCTACCTGCCAAGAAATTCTCTGGACAGTAATGTGTATGGAGTTTCTAAGCACTGCTGGGTTGGACTGGAGGATCTTCCACAAAATGGCAGTTCAGCAGCCAAAATTTATATTCGATATTCTATATCTTTTGCATTCTGTAAATGGTATATATTACTATGTGTTTTATTTTCAGAAGACAATACTACTTTTTAAAGACCAGGGATGATGTGGAGATTGGGAGGTTTTATCAGATTTCTTATGACAGTGCTGCTTGGAACCTGTGATACATTTCTTCACCAACAGGAGAAGCTCTACTGACTGTCTACTTTCAAATCTCTCATGAAAGCCGTCTGCTGTCTCTTCACACTCAACTACCATCCCACACTGAGACTTGCTTCTCTTACTTTCTTAGAGTAACAACTAGAGCAGTGCTGTGGAACATGCCTTGGGGAAGTCCTATCCTGCACATACACACACACACACACACACACACACACACACACACACACACACACACACACACACCCCTACCTCTAGAAGCCTCTTCACAACTACAAATGTTTGATTTATCTGTTGGCCACAGTCACTTGTTCCTAATGAACAGTAACTCCCTAGCCCAGTTACAAGGTCTGAAATAAATGAACAGCCTGAATGGGAAGCATCAACTCATGTTCCCAGCTAGACTGCATTGAAGACAGGTAAAGGTGGGCACATGTATAGCATCTGGCAGTTACCATTTTTTCTTTTCCTCTTGAAGTGGTATGTTGAAGGTGTATGTCGGAGCCCCAACATTTCTTTATCAAGATATATCATATTGCCTTTGTCCATTTTCTGTTGTTCTAATAGCAAAGCAAAATGGGTAATTTGTAAAGGAATAATTTAGATTATGGTCCTAGAGGTTGAGAAATACAAGGACATGGTGCTGGCATCTTCTTGGGTAAAAGTCTCCTGGGCAGAAGGACAAGCTGTCACATGCTCAGGAAAGAGGCCACAAAGCCAAACTTGCTTTCACAACTCATTCTCAGGATTAGTCCAGCCCTTCAGATTCATCAAGAAAAGCTTTGGTCCCTCTTAATAAATTTATCGCCTCTTAAATGCCCTGCCTCCCAACATCTCCACCACTGCAAATTCCATTGAGAGTCAATGTGGAATGACAGTATTCAAGCTATAAGCCTATATGATTTTCAAAATTTCAACAATATCACACAAATTTCAAGTGTATGTGGTTTGTGTGCCTACTTGGTATGGGCAAGCACATCTCCTTCCACTGTCTTCCTGGATATCCCTGTGCCACCATGACTGTTCGGGTTAGGACATGTACGGTTCCTACTGGCTCTTATGCAGTTTCCCCCTGAAGGCCTTCTTATAGTTGTTTTATAGCTCCTTGAAGTTCTGTGTTATGTTCTAGATATTTCTTTGGCATTTCTCCCAGAGCCAAAATAATGAGTTCTTAGGGGAAATTATTAACAATTTTTAGTTGAATATTATTAGTTTATCATTCTTTCTAAAAATACTTCAGCAGTGTTTTCCTTATAAATTTCAAGAGTTCCTTTTGATGTAAGTCCTCTGACTCACACAATAAACATAAAACAAGCACAGTGAAGCCTCTTCTCTTAGTCCCCAAAGAACTTCTGAGACCTCATAATATGCCATAAAATTTTCAGCTTAGTTGACCCTGGAAGGTCAAAATCATAAGGATATTTTTTATAGGGTAACAAAGGCGTAGCTAGTGTTCCTTTCCAACTCCATTAGTGTCCAGAGATGGGACCCATGGCAGCTGTTGGAAGCAAGAACTTAAATAAGAACGTACTAGAAATTATGTTTCCTTTGAATAACACAATTAAAAATTGACACTGAGACCGGGCATGGCAGTGCATGCCTTTAATCCCAGCACTCAGGAGGCAGAGGCAGGCAGATCTCTGTGAATTCGAGACCAGCCTGGTCTACAAAGGGAGTTCCAGGACAGCTGGGGCTACAGAGAGACCCGTCTCAAAAAAAAAAAAAAAAAGACAAAACCTGACACAGTTTTCTTACATTAT